TTTGGTACGAGTCGAAGGAATTATGAAAAAGGAGCAGTACAAACGAATACTACACCAAAATGCCGTTCCGTCTGGTGTAAGATTAATTGGAAATAGTTTTATTTTCCAACAAGATAATGATCCTAAACATAGTTCAAAATTATGCAGGGGTTATTTAGAAGATAAAGAAACAGAAGGAGTGTTAAAAAACATGGTGTGGCCCCCTCAGAGCCCGGATCTCAACCCGATCGAGCTTTTGTGGGAAGAGCTTGATAGAAATGTACGCAGTTGTTGCCCCTCCTCGCAAGAGGACATGTGGAGGACTTTACAAGAAAGCTGGAACAATATTTCACAAGAAACAATCGACGAATTGATTGGTCGTATGCCAAGACTCGTGAAAAAAGTGATAAAATGCAAGGGAGGGTTTTTTGATGAAAAATCTGTTTAAATATTAACGGCATTTTTGATGTAAATAATTTTTTTTTCTTCCTGAGGTATGTGTAGGAAGAATGTATAAGTATGTTAATTATTAATTAAACCTCTTACTTCGTATTTTTTTTGAGTTTTATTTCATTTTCATACTTTTATGAGGGTGGTCTCAAACTTTTGGCCGGCAGTGTAGATCAAATATTTTATTAACAGAGACATTGCTGTTAATGCATGTTTCGATTAAAATTATAACATCATAATTATTACTTAATACTTCGCGATTTACATCTTGCAAGGCAGTATTTATGCCCCTAACATTAAGATAATAACATAAAAACGAATCGTATTTTACAAATTATAACCAACTCTATTAATTAAGAAAACATACAAAATTAATATTACGATAAATTCTTAAGGATATCAAAGTTTTTTACATAAACGTGCTTTTCAGCATGCAGGGTTTTTGTCAGGAGGAAGATGTTCACATACATAAACAGTTTTTTTGTCCCCGCTAATTCCTAGGTGACTCGTATTCAGTTTTTCCTTGTTATTGCTCTCTTTTTTATTAAATGATATGACTGCCGCTAAAAAACTATCTCTAATTCTCATTGTACTAAATTTCACCAGAACCGACCTCGGGCGTGGGCTATCCCTATTGATTTTCATAATCCTCGTACAAGTTTGTATGTCATTATCGTTTAAGTTACATTTCACGGTGTTAGCTATAGCTATTTGTTTTACAGTAGTTTCTGAGTAGCTATAGCTATTTGTTTTACAGTAGTTTCTGACTTGAATTCAGGGAAGCATTGTATTTCTAGATTATATGCCCTAACCAGGGTAGGCGAACCTTTATGCATCGACGTGCCATTTTTTCTAAAAAATGTTTGATGGGGTCATTGGCGTGCCATCAAATAATTTTGACTTTCTGATTATTTGGAGAATAGCAATAATAAATACTATCAAAACTCTTTATGAAATAAAGTAAACAAAAGAGGTACATTTTGGAATGTTTTTATTACACGCATAAATTAAATTATTGTAAAATTAGTGTGACTTCTGTTGCTGCAGGTTAGATGACAAATAATTTATGTCAGGGTTATAAGATGTTTAAAAGCAAAATGCATGCTGAACTGGATTCATCTGTCAAACGATTTCTAAATGAGTTTTTAATGTTATTCATCTCTGAAAACAATGACTCGCAGGCATAGGTAGATGAAAACATTGTTAAAATAGCATGAGCCAGCTTCTTCAAACAGTTAAATGTGTCTGGTAACGCATTCCATGTTTCCAGAATTTTGTTATTAGCATTTTTACTTAAATTACTTGTCAATCTTTCAGTTTCAATTAATTCCAACTCTTTCCTTGTTTCAATAAATTTTTGAATCCATATTGAACTAGATTGGAAATCAATTAGCTGCATTTCAAATTCTTCAATATCCAACCAATCAAATTGAGAGAAGTTCAGTTTATGAAATGACGTCACATCAGTTTACATAATAAAATTGAATATTTCCGACAATTCTTTGAACTGAGAAAATCTCCCTGAAAATTCCTTGATTAAAGAATCGATCACAGCAATAAATTCTTCAGTAAATTTATCTTTGTCTGCTATATCGTGAATATCAAAATCATTGATATATTTTTTCAAGTTTGGAAAATACTTGTATTTTCTTGTGATAATATCGTTTCTGAAAACTTGCAGTTTAGCCTCAAAAGCGCGAATGAGATCTATCATGACAATAATTGTTTTGTTTGTCCCTTGAAGCTTTACGTTTAATGTATTTAAATGTTGGCATATGTCTGCAAAAAACGTCAATTTTGAAAGCCACATAACGTCCAACAACTGTGGGTATTGTTCAATTTTTCCCTCATTTTGCAAAAACAGTCTGATTTCTTCCAAGAAATCAATAAATCTTTCAAGTACATTCCCGCGACTCAACCAGCGAACATTATTATACATCAGTAAGCCATTATACACCGAGTTGACTTCATCCAACAAAGCATCAAATTTTCGCTTGTTTAAAAATGCATTACACGGTAATTCATTAAACACAGTTTCTGTAATTTAAACATAGTTTTGTAATCTTTCTATATTGGTTTAAGGTTCCTAAATATAATTTAGGACATATATTTTTATTTATTAAATAATTTAACTTATAATGTTATGTTTTAAGTTGATTGCTACATAATTCGATAACGGTATAATACTAATCATTTTATTTTCCTTTCTATTAGGTATTGGAATAATACAAAATATTTCATATGTGTCTCCAATTACCAATGGTATTCTTATCTCTATTATTAAATATTTTTCTAATATTCTTGCTCTCTATTGAATGAATTTATAAATTTTATTTTTTTGTGTATATATATTGGGTATTGGCAAGGTCACGTCTTTATATAGTTGCTTGTTATGTTACTAAGTTGCTCTCCCAACTGCTTAGGTGTTATTAAATGTGGATTCAATAGACCATGATATATATCTGTAGACTGTAATAGTGTCTAGTAACGTACTCTGTAATTTTTTTAGATTATTAAGCATGTTACTTCCGATGACAGCTCCTCCGAGCATTTCATTAATTATTGTTATATTTTGAATTTCTGATTGAAAATTATTTGTCTATTGATCCAATAAATTAATGTGCTTATGAATCATTTTATACTTATTGCTTAAGAACGTTATTTTCAGCTTCAATTATAGAAGTTTAATTTTTCCAGTATGATGCTAAGTTTAATTGGATAGTACGAAGTAATTTGATATCTCTTTCATATTGTTCAGCGAATCTTGCGTCCAGTACCTGCTTCGAACAGGCTATTTGCAAGATAGCCGACTCCGTTAATAAAATATGCTGACCAAGTAACAGTGACGTAATTGTAATAATATGTAGTAGCTCGCATCGTGTCTGAGTTCTTATTGTTTTGAAGGTTTGTTTTAGTAATTTTTTATTCTTATTAATGTCTGTTATTCCTTCCCAATAAGGTTCCATATTGTAATATAGAATAAGTTTCCAATCGTTCCGTATTATTTGCATATCTGCAAACTTATCGAACTATAAACCTTGATTGTCTCTAAATTTAGTTATATTTGAAGTCGAATGTGTGCTGGATATACTGATCATGAAGTAAAGCAAAGTCATGATTGCAGAACTGAGTCCACGACGAGTTGGTATTCTTGTTTGTTTTTTCGTCGATGAAGATTAAAATGAAGAGTGCTTTGTTGATTTTGATCATTAATTTGTCCTTGTAACAAATTAGGATTGTTTGACACCCATTTTCGTAAATTGAATCCACCAGACTTTAATAAATTAATTAAGTCCCTTTGCTGATGATAAAGTATATAGAATGACTGTTCAATGATTTTTGCTGCTTCTTGATAATTATCTCGTTCATCGTTCTCTAACTGTCGTAATGTCATCATAGCGAGAAAAGGAGCGGCTTTTAAACCGTATGTAACTGTAGTTAATTGATACTCCTGCAACTTATCCTTCGGATCACCTCTCCACACAATTTTCTGTAAATTCTGGTCATCCTCGTGCATCCATATGTTTTAAACTTTTTTCAATATCTTTCGTAAACGCGATTTTGTATTGTCGCTATTTTAATATTAATAATTGAAGATTTTGTTGTAAATTGAGTCCTTTATACATGAGATCGTTTAAACTCAATCCCTATGATGTGAGCGATGACGCATTAAATACGACTCGCAGTGACGTTGTTGTTGAATCGTCACCTAAAACACAATGGTGTGGTAAATAACATGATGGTTTCGTGTTACTTGGCGGTTTCATGTGTCCCAACTCAATATATTCATTTATAAACTATTAATATTCCTTTGATAAATTTATTTTGTTTATTTTGCGTAGATATAAAGCTATGCGTCTTGTATTGTTGATTCGATGTCCTTTTTATATGATTTGTGTCAGGTTTATGTTTACTAAAATAAACTATTATTATTATTATTATTTATATATATTTGTCTTCTCGGCATACACCGGTAGAATATAAGTAACCTTTACGGACTGGCGTCAAGTAGAGGTTACTGTTGGATTGATTTAAGTTTGTAGAAAGGTTTCATCTAACTCTAAAAATTTCCTAACTATTCTACATGTGTTCAGTATAGCGGCTTTTTGGTATTATATGTATATAAGAAGTGGGTTTCAGTCCAATAAGTTTAAGACTATTATGTAAATTGTTGGGGATAACGCCGGTCGTTGATAGGACTATGGGTACTACGTAGACTTTATTTTGCTTCCAGATGCTTAGGACAGGACTTCGTCTTTAAGGTCGGTGTATTTATGAATTTTCTCCGCTATTGTTTTTTGCAAATTGTGAGTGTTAGGTACAGCTATGTCAATTAAGAATGTAATTTTATTGTGTTTGTCTGTGAGCACTATATCAGGCCGATTGTAATGGATGGTCCTATCAGTCAAAATTGCGGGATCGTAATATAGTTTATGTGTTTCGTTTTCTAACATTGTGCTATTATTATTATTATTATTACTATGTGACATGTTAAGTTTCTAATATGTCAGACCTATTTTCAAGGAATTTAAGCATATCTTTGAGCGATAACCGTAGACTTGACTGACTTTCTATAATTGTTGATGGGCGGGGGTAATGATTATAGGGTCTTCTGTGGGAGCTATCGCTTGCTCGAGGTATTCGTCTACTATTTGTTCACCTTCCTCTGCGTGCTGGGTGTCTTCGGCTGGGTATGGTTGGAACTGGGTCTCCAGGTGGTCAGCGAAGATCTCGGCTCGGTACGTTGCGCGGTAGCGTGGGGTGCCGTCACTCGCTAGCAGGGGCCGGATCGGTTCTGACTTCCTGGATACTTGGCGGCATATGCAGTGGATACCCCTCCAGTCTTCTCCAGCTCGCTCGATGGTCTTGTACCAAGAGTCCACAGCGTGGTCCTCCAACACAGCTGAGACTCTCTCCGCCAGAGCATTGAGCTGGGACTTGATGGTCGGGCATCGGGTGCGCTGGTATAGTCTACGCAGCCTCCTTTTGACTTCGATCATATCTCGTATCCCGGCAGGTAACTGCGGTCGTTTCCGGTGTGATGTGGTGCTTAGCCGCGAGGCCTCGAGTGCCCGGGTGATCGACTCGGTAAGCTCGAGGGCGAGGCGGTCCACATCGTCGGGGCTGTCCACTTGAAAAGACCGCAAGTTCTTGGACAGGTGGTCCGCGAAGATATGCCAGTGTTGTCTATGACGCGGGGACGGGATTTCCCTCCGGATCGGCGCCAGATCAATAGTGACCAGAACCGGTTGGTGATCCGACATCATGTGGTCGTCTAGGACGTCAATCGACGGGTCTGTACTCAGGCCCTGCACTAAAGTGAGGTCGATGACGTCGGGCGCGGCATACCTCTACGCCAAGAGCGTAGGCTGAGCGGTGAGAAACTGCCGGTAGCGGCTGGTGAATGACCTGCCTTTTAACCAGGGCAGCCCTATGTAGACTACCCCGGCAGGGGATACCTGGTCACTTCTGTACACCACGTATCCAGGCATGGTTAGAGTGTCCGTCGGTCTGAGGTACGTCTCTGAGATAAGAGCTATGTCTATCTTATTCTCAGAGAGCAGCACCCGTAGCAATCTTTGCTTAGGTCCAGTTAGGTCGTCGGCATCCAGTGGACCAATGGTGGTTTGCGCTACCATGCCCGCTTCTTATTTCTGGCCTCTTTATGTATATCGGGCAGCAAGAGGCCCTCGCTGGGTGGTCTCCTGCACAGTTGGCACAGGAGGCCGTCTCTTATTTCGGGCGGGGGCAATCTTTGGCTGCATGGTGTTCACCGCAGCGCACACACACCTGCTCCCGGTGGCAGTTGTGTGATGAGTGCCCGAACTGCTGGCAGCGGTGGCACTGGGCTGGCCCTTGGCGTCGTCTCCAGGCTTCAATCTTAATTCCGGCCATGCACTGGAGCTCGGTGATGACTCTATCGCTCCCGGCTGCTATGTTTGTGACTCTGCTGCCGTGTTTATTTATTATTTTTCAAGTTCACTGTTTATGACTTTACAAAAATACAATCCAGCCATACTAAATACGACTAAACTTAAATGTAGTTTGCGCACCGAATACGAAACGCAAAGCGGTCGTCTCATCTTTTATTTCTATACATAAATAACATGATCTCTATATAATTAACATGATCTCTATATAATTAACATGATCTCTATATAATTAACATGATCTCTACATAACTATAAGTTATTTTTTTAACTTGTCGCCGACAATAATTGTACTTTTGTAATTTTCCCATTCTCGTTCCGTAGACGAATCAAGTTTTGAAACAATTAAATATGTATGTTCTTGAAAATATTGTCAATTAATTTACGTATTTGAACCGGTGACTCCTTATATACCGCCACAGTAGAAAACAACGCTTTACATAATTTTGTACGAGCAAACGATTATTGTTATGTCGGTTTTCTAATATATCCCATGCTTTAATGTAATTTTCAAACGTAAACGTAAATAAAGTTGATTCTGTTTTTCTATTACCAATGTCATTCTTATAAATGGAGTTTGATATTTTCTCTATCATCTTGAAAGGGCCTTTTTTTTAATTCATCTTCGTCGTTCGTCACTGTCTCCTATATCGAACTCTTGCATTTTCACACGTAAACTCCAATGATTTAATTACCATAAGTGCGGTACCTGTGAGAGAAGACCGCAAGTAATGGAACTTTTGTATCTTGTTATCTATGTCTTCCGAATTATGAATCAGGGATAAATAGGTGTCGCGAAACTCGAGCCACTGATCATAGGAACCGTCAAAGGACGGCAAGGAAATTGTTGGTAGTTTTATCATTATTTTTACGAGAATTATTAGTAACGTTACTATTTTCGGCTAGGATACAGTGAGACTTAGCTATATATGCATAATAATGGTTCTCGAAGGTTTCCCGCCCAATTAAATCCTTTTCAATTTGAGTATCTACGACATTAAAGTCAATTTCATTCTGAATTTCAGAAAATTTATACAACAATGACTCGGCTTTTTGCAACCGTTCTTGCAACTCAGTTTTAATTACGTCAGTTATAAATACGTTTTCTATCGACTCAACATATTTGCAAAATAAAGTAAATCTACCTTTTATATCCCCCTTTTCTTGTTTAAGTCCCTCAACGTATCTACCTACATTCGTCATTATTATGGGTTTGTGGAAGCCAACGGCAAGAATTTATAATTTTCTAATGATGTGGGTAAGCGACGTACACTGCGCATAAAATAATCATTTACGCCCGGAATTAACCCACTATTACCACAAAATAAGCACTGGATAGAGGTAAGGAAGGATAAAAGATGGATGATTGGCTGGCTTGGCTGTATTCTGTTGGCCACAGTAGAATCCGTTTATTATGACATCAAAAGGAATTGACAAACACGCCATAATAAGCGGACATCATACAAAGCGTTTTGTGATATGAAAAACCGCACTTTCCTCAAATTAATTTGTGTACCTCACTAAAATGTTCTGTTGAATAACTGTTATTAATAATTTTACTGTGTTAACGATTATTTTAAATGTTGTTGAGTCCAAAGAGACCATCTACACGCATGTTTTTTACAACTCAGCTTCGAAACTTAATCCTCATCCCAAAACATTAACTAAAGTGGGCTGCTTTCTCTTTTTACGGAGAACTGAGTCTCGGACTCTGTAGATGCTAGATATTCTGTCATTTCTTTTGTACTTGTACTTGGCACCACCTGGAAATAAGTAATAGACAGTAATTAGAAAGAAAACTCAACAAAAATTAAACTTATACTTATATAACCTAAAAAAAAAAGTATTGAATTGAAATATTGATATACTTATAAGGAATATTATCAAGGGCATTCAAAGCAAACCACAATTTGTTTCTCTGAAAATACAAAGATTTATTTTGCTAGACACGCTTTTACAAAATTATAACAATTATCGTTTAATTATGACAATTACACTTTACCTGAAAATACAATGAAACTACATTAAAGTCCACTAATATCGCCTCCTCAATTATTTTATCTTATTTTATCTCTCTACACGTTTTAATAATCATAAAGTGCACAAAACTCAAACATAATTCGCCATTAGTGAATATTGACGCGTCTCTGGTCGACAAATAAATTTAATGAAATGTCATTTCATTACATCTCCCCCCCTAAGATCGAGAATTCTATCTAATATAATCTATACTGCGTACCTACAAACTATCTTCTTCTTCATATTCGTTTTCTTCTATTATATCTCCTACTGTGACATGTTGTAATTTTGATACATGGAATAAAGTTGATTCTGTTTTTCTATTGCCAATGTCAATCTTATAAATGGAGTTTGATATTTTCTCTATTATTTTGAAAGGGCCTATTTTTAATTCGTCGTTCGTCGTTCGTCACTGTCTCCTATGTCGTAGTCTTCCATTTTCCTATTTTTATCAAAAAAATTCTTGTTGTTTCTCTAATGCTAATTGTCTATCAGCAATCCAGTTGTCTTCCTTTACTATTTTTTTAATTTCAGTTGGTAAAATACTGACATTTGTGCCATCCAGTAAATATTTTGGTGCGAAACCTTTAACAGAATTGTCTGTTTCATTATATTTCTGTATATATTCTCTTGCCACAATTGTCCATTTTTTCTTATTATTTTTCTCAATTATTTTCCATCTTTTATTTACTATTGTTTGGTTTAATCGTTCGTTCAGCCCGTTCGAGAATGATGTATTCACAGCTGTATAAATTAGTTTAATGTTATTCTCCTGCATATATTGTTTAAATTCATTTGAATTGATTCCTGGATATTGATCTGTCATAAATATATTATTATCTGTTTCTAGTACATTCTTTGTTAATTGTATAAAGTCACTTCACACTTGCATTCTGTGTTTTTGAAGTCGCAATAAAAGCAAATCTTGTGTAGTGATCTACTAAAAGGTGTAAGTATTTTATATTTACAAGGAATATTATCAAGGGCACTCAAAGCAAACCACAATATGTTTCTCTGAAAATACAAAGATTTATTTTACCAGACACGCTTTTACAATATTATAACAATTATCATTTAATTATGACAATTACACTTTATCATTTTATAGTAATAAAGCTAATAAACTAGAATCAAATTTCAAGAACAAAAAAAGTTAATACACTCAATAATAATCTATTCGATGACAAGTTAAACCTAAGGTGCAAAATAATTACTTGTACTTATATCATTTTTATATATAAATATTATATATACTGTCTGGCCGCTGTGTATTACACTGCTGCAAAAATATACGATAATTGACATTGTTGTGTATTAACGAGGAAAACATATTGTCATAGAAAGTCTGTCATTCCTCATATTTTCCGCCAAAAGTAGGTAATTGTACGCGCGGCAATTTAATGTCATTGCACTTACTATGCCCTTTTGTATTATATACTAGAGATGAAACGGATATCCGGTAACTATCCGGCCTTGTCTTCACTATCCGGCAGGATACCGGATAGTAATACAGTATCCGGCCGAAATTCGGATATTAAAATAAAAAAACCTTACGAAGTTTACACAAAGCAAATGATACGACATATGGGATAAGAACAAGTTTTATTTTTATAATTGCAAAATAATTGGTTAAATATTAATCAGTTCGTTTAGTACTCAATATTAACAAGGGGCAAATTGTGGTGAATGAATACCAAATTTTCCGCATTTGTTGGTAACAGGCGACTCCGCTTGGCTTCGTATACCAGACCCGCTTCTGAAAACAGCCTTTCGCTATAAACGCTGCTGCCAGGTGCTGACCTTGACAACTGCGGGTACTGGTTCACATTAACTGACCACCAAATATATGGGTCGTGATTGACATCGATACGAGCTGTCTTTAAGAAAAAATCAATCTCTTTAACAATTGGATATTGTTTTGTTAGCAATTGGATTTTGTTTTGTTAGCAATTGGATTTTGTTTTGTTAACAATTGGATTTTGTTTTTCTTGATTCCCACAATCACTTCTATTATCCTTTACTACTTCAATGAAACAATCCCAAAAAGTGTCATGAGCTTCACGTGTGAAGTTGGATCCAGTTTCATCTTCTTTAGCTCGTCTAGCAGGTGTTGAGCACGGCGTAGATCTATATATAATATATACTGTCGAGATAAGGGTATCTGCACGTGGCGTCGAACACTGATCTAAAGCTTCTAGTAGATTAGTTTTATATTGTACTTATAACTCTTCAAACATCTCGTATTTACCCTCGGTGAAGTATGATTCTTTCTTGTCAACAGAATCACTCGAAATGATCGCCTTGTGTTCATACTCAAAGTCAATAAACAACTGTTCCAATATTTCCAATCTCGTTTCTATATAAGAACGTTTAATTCTATCTTTAGGTGTTTTTTTATAATTTCTCAGCTTTCTTCAAAAAAATATAAAGAAGAACGTGGTTTTACATGCACACTGCCATGTTATAACTAAACAAAATTGTAAAAATAATATAAATCTAAAAAAATATTAACAAGTTTTGAGATCTGTTAGGAACTAGGTCAATTATTAACGCATGTTACATTAGTAAAACATTTTTTTTTTTTTCAAACAAAGTTAAACTTCTTATCATTATTTATCACAATACTAGTAAACCTGGCGAACTCCGTTTCGCCACCAGAAGGCTTTTATATAACATTTCGTTTGGTGATTAAAAGATGAAGAATTTTTTGTTTTATATTTGAAAAAGAAATTTTTTATTTCATTTCACAACAGTAATGAATTCATTTCGAATACAAAAATGAAGTGTTATTTAGTTGAACTTCTCTAAGTAAATGAAAGTGAATCCAAAGTAGATACCGAATAGAAGCGTTATACGTGTCCGCAAATTATCCGTTCCATTGAAGTGCTCCTTTGTAAACCACATTTTTTGTTTTTTGGTCTAACTTTAACACAAATAAAGCGTATGGTTTCCAAACTCGAGAACACGCAAAATATAACTGCCCATGTGAAAAACAATGATTTTCTAAATTTATCCCGCAAATACTAAATGGTTTTAAGAGTTCAAACTACAAACACAATACCTAAATATTTTTATTTTTATATAGTAGATTTCTTACAAATATCTAATTGTCATCCATACGTCATTACATATCTGTCATTATACGTTAATTGCATAGCTGTCAATTGTGTTATTCTACGTTTTATAATGACTGACGTTTCATGTCAAGTCCCACGGGAATGCTGTCGAACGGGATAAAAAGTATCCTATTGCAATTTCCTGGCTCTAAACTACCTCCCTGCCAATTTTCAGCTAAATCGGTTCATCCGTTCTTGGGTTATAAGTGCAGTCACTAACACGACTTTCTTTTATATATATAGATTCAGTCCTAAAGCTCTGAGATCAAAGTTTAGTTACATATCTATCGATTGTGTAACAATATGAAAAACTTAAATACTACTTTGTATGAAAATCGATAAAGCAATTTCGCCCTTCAACTATACATAGCGGTGCGTTACACTTTGGACAAAAAAAATTGGTTTGATGTTTTGTACATAGTTTATATCTGCCTTTTGTCGTAAACGCAGGAAGATGTCCCGTTGGGTCGTAACGAGTAGCATTATCAGGCCTCTCCGCTACTGGTTTTTTTATTATTTTCTCAGCTTTGTATAGAGCATCAGGTTGTAGATTAGAACTCCTCTCAAAAAATAGCTATATTGTGATCGTTAGACACGACTTGTGCAAAAGCTCCCATGCCCATTTTTTTTAACTCTTTATCAGATGGTAATTTTTTTTAATGATAGTTTACATCACATCACCACTCACAAATCGCATCGACAACCACTATCCCACGGCGCAGTCGCAAAAGAGAGCCAATCAAATGTTTTATTGTAAAATTCGTCTCGGTTGCGTTCGGGAATTTTGATAGTTTTATTAAAATTTAAAGTGTGTTTCCTTAATATATATATTAATTTTGATATTATATTGATGCATTACTAAATCATTAATTTTGATCTTCAATCATCATCATCCGAGCCATGGTTATTATCTTTGAACTCGTCTTCATCATCCATATCCATTGAACCGGATTCTGCATAATTAAACGTTAATTTTAAAATATAAATAACTTGTAAATTGATTCGAACATATTCGATAAAGAATTGATTTTTATCAACTTACCAGGAACATCGGTGATTAAGTCACTCACAAAAGATGGAAGTTGACCTCCTAGTTTCTTGTCCTGCTCAATCCAACCATAATCGAAATGGTATTAAATCAGTAGGTCGCTTTTTGTAAGCATTTTTCCAAATTGTATGTAGAAATATAATGAGCTCTCAGAAATTGTTGGTAGAATTCAGTCTTACACGGTGGAATTGAGGGTGCGTCAAAATTTTGAATTTTTTGCTGAAATTTTCATTGATGTCTGAAGCTTTGTAATTACGGACAAATAGTTGGGACCTTCCATCATTGACGTCCTGCGATTTTTTGGCAAACAAATTGTTGAATAACATTAAATTGGTGTTGTAATTGGTCCTTTGTTAAATTTTCTTCACCAAGAGCAGTAAATGCTTCTTGGAATGCTGTATTTATTTTTAGCAATGTAAAAGGTTTTTTCTTTCCTTTATTAAAAAAAGCGGGATTAAAATTACACCCAGTGAACGCATGGAAGACGATTAAACTTTTAGCTAACCATTCACCAACTCTGTTTAAATTTTTGTGATGTTAATATATCTTTCATTATTTCCTGTTCCATTGAGTATCCAAATATTAGATTTTACCAATCATTTGATTAAAATATCGGTGTCAGAGGCTTTGAGGCTTTTTAAAAAATAAAATATGTACAAATTATAATTATTTTTTGTCCTTAGCAGTACCTATACTTTAATATTTAAGATTTTTTCGTTATGTATCTCCTTTATCGTTTAACTTTAAAAGTTCAGTATGTAGACTACATGGAATTTATTAAATTCATTAAATACAGTGATTAAGTAAATTATATTAATGTAAAACTGCTATCGTAATATATAGACATCTGACCGGGTAGTGTATCTCAGATTTATTTATGTGCTGATGTTTATATGAAAAAGTCTGGCATTCACAATATAAGTTTTTAAGACTATAATAAATAAAATATATTGATGGCAGATCTAGTCAATTACTTTCAAAAAAAATTTTTTTTACCATTTTCAAAATCGTCTGTCACAATGCTAAACGCGAATTACGTTTGGTGGCAACGAATGATGCAAGAAAAATTCGTTTTACTTACAAAATATATTCAATTACCAATTAAGAATTAATTTAACTACTAGCTAGGGCGGGGTCTTTAAGTCAGAGATTGACTTAAAAGCCATTATATAGTTAAGTCTTATAACTAACTACGTACTAAAGAGGTGTCTGTAAGTCAGCGGTTGACTCCAGACTGAATATATGTAAAATCCCATTCTTCATTCTCACCGATGGTGCAAGGCGTGTGGTGTCCACTTCACTTTCCCAGTCCCAACGATGGCTCAGAGTCAGCATTCCGTACTTTACACAATTGTTATACCGAAAACTTAATATCGGGTTATGCTTCCGTAACACCTCCCCCCGTAGAACAGCGTCTATTGAAGACCTTGGTCGTAAATTGCACTGGCAGACGACCTGACCCGTCTCTTTGAGCTACAGAGATGACGTAGATGCTTTGATATGGATTTTCATTTTCACTGGACTGTCCCACCTTAAGCTTTTTGTGTCTAAGGTGGTATCTTCGATATGCAAGGCCGCCCATGAGTAGAAGCGTGTAAAGTGGTATCGTTGTATGATAGAGGCTTCTATCGCTGTCCTTGATGATTGTACCGGTGACTGTAACATTACTTCTCTATTGGCAGCGTGAAGTTTGTTCAAATGAATTGAGTTTAGTTTAAATATTTGACGTGTTGCTGTACCGTTCATATTTTCTTCAGGAATGTCTACTATCTTCAAGGCTTTATCTTTTAATTTATGATTAAGATATGAGATGATGAAGTTAGATGTTTGTATAAAACAGTTGTAGTGAATTATAGCTAAAAAGCTTCCTTGTAGCATGTTAGAGACGTCTTGACCGCAAGATAAGCGTGTTTTAATTTGAGTTAGAAAACTGATGGTGCAGTGTCGGTTGTCGAGTTTCTCGTAGGCTGGCGTATGTAGAGATGCGATGACTGGTTGCAATCAGGAATTTTTTACTGCTTAGTAACAAGAGCTGTTATACAATCAGGCGATGTCGGGCTGTACATGTTGTGTATCTCTTCACATAGATACCCTTTAGTGGACTTCGGGCATTCAGCCTCTATGTAGGTACTTGAAATCTTTGAGATGGATTGCAAGGAATCGGGAGTGAGGTAGGTATAAGAACTTCATAAATTTGATAGGAGTAATTGATATTTTATACAAATTATATGTTTGGGATGGAATAATTGGGAATTTATACATATATGTACTATAATTATTTAAAATACTTTTATAATATGAACCCAATTGTATTAATACTCTCGGGCTCCTATGTTAATATAATACTCGATTACTACCGTAAATGCTACGTGACTTATCAATTATACTTCTTATTGAAGTAAATTGATGACATCGTGGTGAGCCGTAGTTGTCTTTATAAATGCTAAAAAGTTTTGTAACTTAATACGATACGATATGTAACTCACTACTCGTATGGTAAGGGATCAACGTTATAATAAAAATAACCTGTCCTAAATGAATGTATTGATATAATTCCTGGTTCTCTTCTTCTAAACTTCGATTAAAATTTATAACTAACGCTGATAATTAATTTATACTGATTATCTACTATGTTATCTATAATTTTCGAATACTGAGTTACCCAATCTTTCGTCAGGCTGACATGATTGTTAAATTCCATTAATAATTTATTGTCGTTATTTTGAAGTAATTTCAATCAATGTTACCGGTTATACCTACTTTTTACTACGGAACCGAGACCGTCAAAGAGACCTCTTAGCACGACTAAGCTCAAATGACTGCGATTGGTCGAGAATGGTTTGAAACTTTTCTTTTAAATATTCTATATGAGGATGAAATAACGAAAGTGTTATATTATTAAGATGAGGTATTTTATTAATTAACTGGATATGAACTGCCTTTACTTTTTTTCGTAACTCTTGGATATTGATGTGTTTTTAAAAAAGAGTGATAGTAGTCAAGTTTATATGTATATATATGTATGTATTGGGAGATCGTAATTGAGACCGTAACTGTATCTTGCGTACGAGTATAACGTGTAGCTACTTTTTGACGAGAAGCCAATGGCTTTTTAACGAATATTTGTTGCTTTTTAGTCTTTCTAGATCCGTTTAGAGCTTCTGTCAAATCTTTCCTATTCAATAAATTATCTTCATGAATTATATTATAAGCCTGGTTCATTTAATTTAATGTTTTATGGTATACTGTTGGCATAAATGTGCTGTTAGATCTACGAGTATGTGTAGTGGGTCAAAGTGTCCAATAATAACGTCAATCGGTTTACATTTAGTAAAACTGTGTATTGAACTATTTATTGTAAGCTAAAGGGCATAATTAATTAAATTAATAACGGATTCATTCTTTGATTCCATATTAAGTATTCGTAGATATTCTAAAAGTGTTGAGTGAAGTCTTTCAATAATTTCATTTCATTTTATTATGTTGAAGTTTATGTAGTCTTATAAGTTTAGCAAATACTTGTTTTGACAATTCAGGACCGTTGTGTCACTAAAATATAAGATACACCGTGTTGAGTACTGAATTTGAGTACTGCTTGAACTATACTTATTGCCGTTCCGTCTTTTAGATACCTAATACAACAGTCGACTGCGCGTATTTCGAAAATGTATCGACGATTATTAAAACTTTTCGCTCCGTATGGTTAATAAGGCTTACATGGTGGAGCGATAATACAGAATTGTTGTAATGTCCGTTTTAGTATATCCTAATTTATCGAATATGTCTGATATATTAGGCATGGGGTACTTATCGTCAATAGTGTTTTAATTAACTCTTCGAAAATCTATGACTAAGCGCCATTTTTTTACCTGAAGCCTCACCTTTTTAGGAATTACCCAAATAGGAGAGCTGTACGTGGATTCGGAAGTCTGAATTATATTCTGTTGAAGCATTATTATGTTTTATCTCTTATGTCTTGATTGTGAATATATGGATACCTATAACTTTTAGCATTAACGGGGACTTAAGTCGTTTTAATTTTATTTTTGATTTTATTAATAAATGTTAAGGGTTCTCCCTCAAGATAAAATACATCTGAATAACGTGCATATTTTTTATTTAGCTAGCGGTTCTGGGTTCAAATGGTCGGTGCGAGGACGCGATAAAACTTCTTTCGTTCGATTAGAAAGTGATGTTAAATACTAATTTTTTATATTAAATATTTCGTCTGTAAAGAGATGATTCATTGAGAAAATTACATCATTATTTGGAACAATCAGAAGTAAACAATTACTAGTAATCTGATTGGGAACAAATACATCCCCATCCTTTGAATTATTTGGCAATTTTACTAACTTTGATGTCCGGCTGGTATTATTTCTTCGTAAAGATTAGGATTACGAGCATCCATAGTTAATAATTATCATTTCCGTCTTTTTAGTAATTAACTTTTTTTATTTTTAAAATCAATCTTAGAATACCATTAATCTAACAAATCAAATCCACTAATAATAATAATATATTTTCAAATATCAAAACGGCAGACGTGGTCAAATGCATTTATAGCCACAAATCGATATCTGTCCTACCTGCGCACTAGCCGCGTCCACCACTTAGGGCTTAGTGAGTCCCCATCTCATGTACGGTAGGTAAAGGGGTCTCAACGTGCAAAAGCCCAGGTCTGGTCAAATACATACAGGTATCCGTTCACTGGCCCTTAAGCTAATATATAATAAAGATAAGGTTCTTGTAACTTGTACAATCAGCTATTATTTGTCTATAATTATCGACTAAGGTAATGATTAGGACAAATAGTCCCATATTCAGTTTTATGGTAATTTGTTATTATCATAGAGTATCGATAAAATTATTGTTAACAATATGAAGAGGAGAAGTTATTTACCTCGTAAAACGAAACTATGATCGAAATTCTAATTATGATTTCGACGGTCGGTGGATGCAATGAAACCAAAATTATTTGACTTAATTTAATTAAAAGTAAGTTACAACTATGGTGTGACTATGTTGCACGAAGGTTGAACAAATAGTGACATTAATTTAATCAACTTCTTAAAAGAAATCTTATAATCTAAAAACATAAAAGTAATATAAAACCCAAAAACTGTCTTCACACGGAACTGCTGAGTCAGACCCGTGTAGAATAGCCGAGTTTACCCAGAACCTAAGGCGTCCTCTGATTACATCGTATAAAGATAATTATATTTTAATTAAACGACCACTTATTACACCGTCACATAACATTCTTCAATATATTTTTAGATTTGTATTTAATAACACAAAAAACACAACATTACTATTTTTTGAGCGTTTTGATTGAATTTTGTCGAAATTTATTTCTGTTTTTTTTTAATGACTGCAGATCTATTTCTTTGGCATTATAATACTTAATTTCTTAATTACCAACAAATCCTGTTAATACAGAAATTACAGGACATAGTCCTACCATTATCATCATCAAACGTTTCTATCATAGTGTAAAGTAACGATCGATCCGCTATAGCTATTTCAAGGAATCAGCTTAAATAATAAAATTTAAGAGAAACTTTGTGAATATCTTCTTCTTCTATATATATAAAAATGGATTGCTGTTCCTTAGTCTCGCTAAAACTCGAGAACGGCTGAACGGATTTATCTTATCTTAGTCTTGAAATGTTCGTGGAGGTTCAGGGAAGGTTTAAAAGGTGAGAAAAATTGATTCATTTTCGGGAAAACCCTAAAAACAGCCCTTTTCTATTTCCCATACAAACGGTTTTTTGACATTAGATTTGACAACTAACTAATATGTCAATCATTCTGTCGCACTTCAAAACACGGAGATTTATGGCTTACAGGTAAACTCCAAAAATATAAATAAAAAAACGTAATAGATATTTCTTGATTATAGGGCGATACGAAGTTCGCCAGGTCTTCTAGTTTACAATATAAATTAAGTCCAAATCCAACAACACCATATTTTGATAATGTTCGCATGAGACATAGGACGTCTTACTAAAAACCTTAACTATTTGAAAAGTTATTTAAATGGATATAATATGTCTCACTGCAAAACCTAAATGTCTATGCGATAAAAATATCTTTCCCGAAACGTCTAAATATAAAATAATGGGGTATTAAGACACTTACAAATATTAATAAAAGCAAAAGTGAAAAGAGTTTATACCGTAGTGTAGTATACAGTACCATATGTGAGTGCGTTCTATTCGATTTCGCAGCGCTCTAATCCGAAAACTGTTAAGTTTACAGAAAAACTGCACGAAACGTTTTCGTAGATAATTTTATGAGGAATAATTTTTATAATGACCTCGGAAATGAAATAGGTCGCGAAATATTTGCAAAAAACTGATTTTCGTGACCTTTTGACCTCTGTAACTTTTTCAGCCGTAACTATATCGATGTCGATTTTTCACAACTTCATAATAACGCCGTAATAATTTGATCCCCATTCCCATAAAATAAATAAATCACTGAAAATGAGATACATAGTGTATATATGAAGCCAATATATTAACGATACTTGTTGTATTGTATGTACGTACAAAGTTAAACTAGAGTAAGTGCGTA